TTGAATTAAAGAAAAATGAAGAATGATGTTAAATCAAGATTCAAATATTTTCACAAGAATTTTTTCATCGGCGAATTCTTCGATAATTCGATAGTTTTCTCGGTTGCCGTATGTACGATAGAAACCTGGCTCATTAACTATTTACTGCCGTGTGTTGTTAATATTAACAGCTCGGTAGGCGTGTATTAAACGTATGAAGCTATCACAGGATAATCGGTGGAAGGTCAAATGAATTCTTTATGGGATGTCGGCCGGCTTGCGCGTCATATTCTTAAACAAAACGCATCAAAGCTCGTGTGCTGTGCACATTTCCCTCGACAGTCGCATTTTGACGAGTGTGTACTTCGCAGCCCATACATTGCAGTTACACAATTAACTATTCTCTAGAATCGCCTCGAACTTTGTGCTTTTAATAAGCGATAGCCGGAAAGGGTGAAATCGTCTCGAAAATTTGTCTATCCAATACTTCCGATAAATTCACGGGACATGACGAACAGAAAGAAATTGTACAAAAATTTACGAAAAACTCTACAAACTTGTTTAAGCATTATTAAGAAACAATCTATGGAATTTTGTCGCGACACTGGACTCCATGGCTACAAATACATTGGCGAGTCTCATCGCGCCATGAAAGACAGGTAAAGTATTCAATATATTCTAATAATTTTACTATTGAATTACAGGATTACAGAATCAATAGACAGAAATGAGAAGTAAATGAAACGTGATATTGATAATGAACGAACTTCGAATTATGTTCGCAACAAAATCAATTCTCCTACGCGAGTATCAAACGACACTGTTTAGACTGAATCCTGTCCATCCAAAACCTAAACGAACCCCATTCAACCTTTCTAAGTACTGTGCGTCGCAAGTGAACTGATTAAAACCGTTCGATTCGAGTGTCCCGCGAATTGTTGCTCCCGTTTCAATTAAACCGCGCCCGATATAATCGCTAATTTCGCATTCATTTCCGCAGGATCGTTTGGGCAATAATGGCATTCGTATCCCTGTGCACCGCAATTGTGATAATAGTGTTCACCTACGATTATTACGCCAACCATCGCGTTTCCTCGGTCATCAAGTCCACTCACTATGGGATATGGAATTATCCGTTCCCAGCGGTGACCGTGTGCAACATTAATCGCGTGTCCCTCAGATTAACGCGAAAGTTAGTTGACAAATTGTAAGTACTAGGGATTTACAAAAACATTTTGCATTTTCTCGTGTAGTGGAACAAACTTTTCGGTGAACACTTTACCGGTGTCAAAAATGGCGTCGTTGTAAACAGATGCACTTTTAAGGACTTCGCGCGAATCAATTTTTTCAGAATTTCGTATCGAACGTTAAATTTCCAATTGTCAGTATTAAATTTATTTAATGGAATTACATTATCCCTTATTCGATCGAATGTTATTTTAAGCAGGCTTTATAAGAAAGAGGAGGATGAATAATTTTTTCTTTGCTTCTATATCAGCATTACCATATTAGAGAATAAAAACATTCGTCGTATCTTCCAGTTCCTTTCTTGTATGATTATAATTTTGATAATTAGGAATTCTTGTCGTTATTATAGAAACCTCCCGCCATCCATATCCAAGGAACTTGTTGTACAGGATATGAAGCTGTTGAACGAGTTGTTGTATCCCGGTCAGACCGAACAGAATATTCGGTACAATCTGTCACGTTTGCAATACATCTTTGACGCTAATGGTTTGTCAATTCCGACGGTCATCGAATCCGTACGTACCAAGTTACTAAGATCTTATCGACAATCTAATCGTCTCAATTAAATATAACTTCCGATTACTATTAATGGTCGGCTCTGTTAACCTCTTGGCTAACGATTTATTTCGAATCAGACATTCCTGTTTATGCTATTCAATTTTGTTGCAACTCTGTTGTCATGAGTATTTTAAAGAAAATTGAAGTATTACAGCTTCAATTAAATTTATTTTTGTAAATAAGAAAATTATTTTAATTACGATACAGCTATTTGTAAAATAATTTGCGAAATCGTGAATGAAACTCGTCATTTCAGTTGAAAGGGTTGAAACTTGAATCGCTATCATCGAAACATTTAAGCAAACTTGCGAATCACTTCAGATTCACACTGTCCGATTGAAATATTGATGTTGTAAAGCTGTTATTTTGTCCGATGACAGCCACTAGTTCACAGAACATACTTTAGTTTAAAGTTTTGATTCTGCTACAAAAAAAAGGAACAGTTTTCAAGAACTCCAATGGAAATTCATGCGTTTCTCAATCTAGAAACTCTCGTCGACAATCGTCCGAGTGTTACGTGAACGTACCAGATAAGAAAAATCGTTTAAGAGCAATTAAAGACAAGATTCTCTGTTTCAGGTCACACAGAGTTGCGAAAGTTTACTGACAGCGTGCAAATTAAAAAATTATGACGTCCAATGCAACCAGCTGTTCACGCCGAGATACTCCCGCGACGGATTGTGCTGCAGTTTTAATTACATCTCACGGGAACAATTCCTCGAAAACAAAACGTATTAAACTGGTTTACAAAATAAATTTTAAATACCAGATGTTTAATGTTCAGGATTACTATCGATCGTCAAATCTATATTGTACTTGCCAATCGTCATCAATATTCTTCTATTCCAGTTTCGACATTTACAAAATAGTCTACAGGACTTAAATTTGTAAACATTCGCGAAAGATAATTTTGTCACACCTAAAATTAGAAAAACACTGTTCAATAGATTTAAAATACCCTTTTCTTTTCTCGTTTACGTCTCAGAAAACCGCTGAAAGTGACTTCGTGCGGGTATCAAAATGGACTCAGCCTCCTAATTAGTTTCGAACCCGATGATTATCATGCCAGTTTCTTGGGATCTATAGGGATTAAGGTGATATAGTCACCGTTATTTTATAATCAGTTTCCACAGATTTTTTTCATCGTTTAACGTCTCCTTTCCACGAATGAAGATTCAACTGAATTTTGTTAAAGCAAAGTTTACAATGTTTATTTCAGGTGATGGTACACTATTCCTACGATTACCCAGATTTTGATGCGTCTACTAAATTAGTCATCATTGAGAAATACTCGTTTTTGACCGTTTATCCGAAACAGACGTATTCGACAGAACACGTTCGAGAATTGGAGAATACGAAAAGGGACTGCATATTCGCTGACGAGGGAGATAAAGTAACAACGATGGACAACCAAGGACTTTTTGCCAGGTACTCTTATCAGAACTGCCTGGTGGAGTGTCGCGCCAATGTAATTAAAGCAAAATGCGGATGCATCCCCTATTATTATCCGCAGAACGGTTAGTTGTTCAATTATTGTTTTACCATTTCTCAACGGGGTGATGGTTAATTATACACAAATTGCGAATATTTGTGCGAAATCGTACTTTTACGAATCAATTTAAAGAAGCGAAAATTAGACGAAACTCGGTTTTACTTAAAAATTGTATCGGACTAAGGATAAAATAGAAGAAAAAGCACGTGAAATTATTCAGAAACAATAATTATTTATTTTTCGCTTTCTCTTGTAAAAACATGCGTTTCAGAAACCAGAGTATGCGATTTGAGGGACATCGAATGTTTAGAAGTATACAAATGTAAGTGCAAAATTAATTTATAACGTGTGTTAAACATAATTATGATTAGTTGCACGGTTTAACATAATTTCATGAAGTCGTATTGAATAGTTTGATAACAGATCAAAATTTTCAGCTTGGTACGCATCATCTTGGCCAGGAAGAGACCTATCGCCTAAAACTTTACGTAGTATGCAAATTGACGTGAAGGACAGACCTTGCAATTGCAAACCGGATTGTGATTTTTATCGTTATGTTGTGGAAAGCTCGGAAGGAACTCTTAACAAACGTATTTTCCACGTCGGCCTTAAATACTCGACTAGTTTTGGGTAATTTATTGCATATTTTATATAAAGGACTATTGCAAAAATGAAGTAGACAATGATAAACTGAAGGAATTAAAATTCTTGCATTAACTTATAAATCGTTAGTTGGTTGTTAAGGCTTACCTGCATCTTCAATTCATTGAAACACAAGTCTTTAAATATCTCGTCCCAAAAAAAAGTGGACTTGTCCCACTTTCAGAGTAAACGGCTCATATATGAGTAGGGAAGAATTATATGTATTATAATTTCCCCCAAATGAAGAAACATTTCTGTTAAACGAAACTTATTGTACACGTTGTTGCAGTGATTCTTATTATACGGACATTGAAATTGAATCTATCTTTCAGGGAAAACAATACCTGGAAAAATCAGAGTGTAATACACGTATTTTTTGACGATCTAGTTTCTGTTCAATTCCGACAAGATGTACACTACAGCTGGCGTCATATATTCGGTAAGTTGCACTGCAACTGTATACAATTAGGAATTTAAGAAACTACACAGCAATGAAAAACCATTGACACGAATAAATTGTTTCAGCAACATTTGGAGGTCTTCTAGGATTATTTGCTGGATTTAGTCTAATGTCTATTTTCGAATTTATCTACTTTTTTGTTATTCGCGTCATGACAAACACATGTTCTGAAAAACACGACGTGGATAGAATATTAATAACAAAGAATCAACGGAGTAAAAATCAAATGTACGTAATTTTTTATTTTACATGTTTCATGGATAAATTTACAAATGATACAATTTACAAATTTACAAATTATTCTTTTAGGACGGAATAGCGTTGATTTTTTTACACTATGTAACTAACTGCAGCTCTTTGTAATCAATATCGTCAACAACTGTCATAGTATATAAAAAATGTTTTCAAAATTCACAATGTCAAGATTTTGCTATTTCTGGTCTATATTCCGGAAACTGAAAATCTGTAACCAGCCTGTAGGTACGTAGCTCAGGTAATTGTGCAATAGCATTTGTTCCATATATCTTTCCTCGTTTTTTCATGACGCCCTGAATTATTTTATTGGTAGCTTTCATAAACGTTATTTCGGATCCTTCATTTTGTAGCACATTACAAAATTCCTGTATAAACCACGATCCTAAGGAAATGACAATCACAATAATAAAAAAAAAAGATTCAATTATACAGTTTACATGTACAATAATTAATTAGACAAATTATTACCTTCTTCTTTATGACGTACAGACACAAACCCTTGCATTGTTGACATGAATATACAAAAGTTTCTGTATGCGAAAATATTAGAAATAATATTATTTGTCCGACCATCTGTAGTTAAAGCTTCATCTGCGAGCCCTACGATAAAATATAAGAAAAATATTTCAATATTTTTAATGCAATGTGATTATATATTTGCTTTACCTGTTGCTTGTCCTTGACAAGCTTGTACAATTACAATTTTAATAACATTCATTAACTTTTCACAGCAAATTTTATGCTCAATTGCATCAAGACTTACTTCTTGTTCGTCTGAACTAATAATACCTCCTATAACATAAATTAATATATTATTATATATGAATCAGTATATCATGTATTATTTTTATTTCTATTTAAGTTTCGTTTATTCCAATACCTCGATTTAAACTTTCACTTAAGAAACCAATTCAATACTTTTACCTTTACATCCATGGCTTAAAATACATAGAAATAAACAGTCGTAATTAGTCCCAAATGCTTCTGGAATGTCTTCCAATGTTTTTAATATTTCATCTTTCTTTAAATTTTTAAATATACTGACAGCAAAGCCAAAACCTTTAAATGTTTCTGATAGTTTCCTACAATCTGCTGCAGTACCAAATCGAGTTTCAAACTGAAATATTAATATAACACTTCGATATACTCAATCTGTTGTAAACTATTAACAACATATATATTGTTTATTAAATAACAGTAAATTTAAATAATTATTAATACCTTCTCACCCAAAAAAGACATTTGACTTATAATTATGCAAAGACCTTTCTTTAATCTTTTAATGTCATTTTCTGCACCAACAGGAAGTAACTGTGTACCTTCAGTTACAGAAAACTTTAAAGGCGGTGTACTGTATGAGCTTATATTTTGAACATCCAGCACAGACTGATGATCTTCCATTTTCTTAAAATCCTCGTATATAAGCGCAATATCATCAAATGTTTTCATATGTCTAAGTAAATTCTTTAGATTTACCCTACCTAAAATAATTAAGCATTATAGAAAATAAAATATTGTAATGTAAGCTATGAAGAATATTTGTGTGCAAAACCAAACCTTTATGAAATGAAATATGTTTTTCTTGCAACCAATATAAAATATGTAATTCAAGGCAATCCGTATCTTTTAAATTTTCTTCGTATTCGTTGAAATCACTTTTCACATATTGCAATAATAACATTGTATCATTTTGTGTTAAATTTTCACATAAGAAATATAAGCATTTTGCAATAGGGTTTATGTGTCGAGCACACAGCCTGATTTTTGGAAAATATAATAATTCTAACTCATCGAATAACAATCCCAGTTTTCTTATTACTTGTCGATTTTGTATAATGCAGATTGCTTCCAATAATTTATTCTCCCAATTATTTTCATGATTGTCAATAAATGCCTTAAGTATATAAGTTTCATATTCCTTATATTTTTCCAATAAATAATAAACATCTTTAAAACCACAGGTATAATCATCTATCATTAAGAATAGAATAGATATTTTTTCTTCTATGTCTAGATCATCTTCAATTTTTTTTAGAATATTTTTTTTTAATTTACATTTAATTGCATTTACATTCATACCAGTACATGCTAATGCATCACAGTACAAGGTCATTTTTAAGTTCTTTGTTGTTACAAATACTTCTGGAGAACTGAAAAAATATTTTCGAAGTAGTTAACATTAATTTTTGTAGAAAAGTATTTCAAATGTGCAAAAAATAATGATGCATTAAAACATATAAATAACTGTTAAAATTGAAACTATGAGATCATAATTCCATAATTATACAAATTAACACTTGTTAGTAATTTTTAATGAAACTTAATTGCATAATATTAATGTAACCAAATACCGTTTTTGATTTGTTTTAAAGAAACCGTTAACGTGTATTTAGTTCAAAATCATTTTAATCGAATAAAATAAAATTTTTTGTAACGTTACAAATCCATCACAGTTTAAAAAAACATTTTTTTATACCACAATCATATCACAGGTGGAGTATTTGCAGTCGTACATAACCATACTATACATAAAACATTCAAATCATAATCAACTGTATTTGCGATTTGAATGCATTCACTATCAATCTTGATCACATATTTGTTACTCAATCAATAATTCCATATTATTATTCAAATATTCCAATGTACAAAATATGGAATAATTAAATCTTTTAAGGGGTATTTATCAATGTACACATTGTAAATGTAAGACCTAAAATTAAAAAGTTTATCACTGCATTCATAATTTTGTTGGTATTTCAAATTTTATGCTGTCACTATTTTATAAATATATACTGTCTATGTTCAATAACTTTTCTAGTATAGTAAGAAAATACTATACTCGTAATATTGAAATATTTACAAAACATTCAAATAGTCTCAGTTGCAGTTAAATACATTCGCTATGCATTGTTGCATGTGTTGTTAATCGCATCTTTTAAAAATATCATTCAGTCTAAGAACATATCAGAAAGAAATAATTTAACACAATTGTTTACAATATAAACTTCGTTGATTTATGATATCAATGCAATATCCAATTAAATTTCAAATTGCATTAACATCGAATACTGCATTATTCCTGAATTCAATCAGAGCACCATCTAGGAAACTGTAGGCGCAACAATACCTAACATGCTGTAGGAATTTATAATTCGAATGCGATCTGTTTTACGATTCTACTTCCACGGCAAAATGAATGAAGGCTAGTGAAGGAAGGAGTTGTGAAAACAAACTGGATATCTCGTTGGAAAGTTTGATAAATTAGTAAAATAGTGTGCTATTTACTTGATAAATTCGGAAGCCAACTTCGGATCATCGGTTCGAGTTGCAAATCTGTTTCCTTCAAACGTTGAGGATCGTGTCAAATTAAAAATCATGTCTAAGAGCAAACTTCACCATCAAGTTGACAGCAGTATTGTCGCAGTGAAAAGCAAAGTAAGCTACTTTCTAATCGCTTTGATATCTATGTATTCTAACTCAGTATGAAATAAAATTATTTTAAAACAATATCTCAAAATAGTTCTCACTTCTTTGTCTTGCCAAATTTGTCTGCAAATAACTAGGTATTATATTTTCTTTAGTTTGATGCTGATATTATACGATTTTCAATCAACCGAAATGAAGCAATTAGTTATGAAGACTTTAGAAAATTATTAGCTGAACGACACGATATAGGTCCAGATTTGAGCTTTTTAATTTGGTATACAGATCCAACTGATGGTGATTTATTACCTATTAATAACGACAACAATTTAGCAAGAGCATTACTTGCCGCAAAACCACTTCTCAGAATTTTGATACAAAGGAAGGGTAAGATATAACATAATTTAATGCAAAAGGATTTTATTAATTGAATACAGGAACAAGTACTAGGATCTAAAATTCCACTTTCAATTATCAAGATATAAAATCAATCTTTTTTTTTCATTTATTTAAATGATTATTGGAATAGATATACTTTGCAGTGCAAAATATTCAATAACAAAGTATGAACAATGGACAATACCATTAAAAGAAAAAAGTCATTTCATTTATTATATAAGTTCCTTAAGATTTGTTTGTTTTTGCATTTTACGGTATTACTTTATAATCTTCTGATATCAGGATGTTTACACGTTAACATATATAATTCAATCATTTTATATGATAGGAGATGGATTTGAAGACATAAATGGGTATGGGACAATGAAACCAAAAAATCTTATTTCGAGTATTCTTGGTGGTACACCTGGAAAACCAAAGTCATTGGCTATATCTAATCCACATGATTTTAGGCAGGTATGTCTTATCTGTTTAATTTTGAATTACATATACAGTGATACCTCGACTTATGAACTTAATTCATTCCAGTCCGAAGTTTATATTGTGAAACCCAGTTTACTATAGTATTATAATTCGGGATTATAAAAGCGTCATGATTTGTTTCTTGAAATTATGTTCTTGTATAAAGGTCAAAATGGAGTACCTGAAAAGTTTGTATGTTGAAAATTTCATATATACAGCAGTTTGTAAGTCGAGGTACCACTGTATTTAAATATGAAATATAGTTATGTTGTAAACCATTTTTAATCATCGCAGGTATCAGCAATAATCGATGTAGACATATTACCAGAAACATGTCGTCGTGTACGTTTGTTAAAACACGGTTCTGATAAGCCATTAGGATTTTATATTAAGGATGGAGAAAGTTTTCGAATATTGCCACCTTCTGCAGGTGGTGGTATTGAAAAAGTTCCAGGTGTATTTATTAGTAGATTGGTACCAGGTGGTTTAGCTGAAAGTACTGGTCTTCTAGCAGTGAATGATGAAGTACTTGAAGTGAATGGTATAGAAGTTGCTGGAAAAACTCTTGATCAGGTAATTGTGACTATTGATCTACTTATATTTTTTTATTTTCAACAGAGTTCAATCGATATATGTAATTGTAAATAATATATTCACTGTGATAGGTCACAGATATGATGATCGCCAATTCCTCAAATCTAATAATCACAGTAAAACCAGCAAATCAGAGAGCAGCATTAACTGCTCCAAGACGTGGATCATTTTCACGAAATAGTCAGTTGTCTTCTGGTAGTCATCAGTCTACGCAAAGTGCTGCAACCGGAAGCGATGAGGATGCAGACGAAATTGTAGATTTAACTGGAGTAACCCTACAGGATGATGCAACAACTTCTACTTCTCAGCATCATCATTATCATCACCATCACCATCACCAAAACCATTTCAGTCATGATCAAGGTGTGCTACATTTATAAATGGCATATAGTGCAAATTTCAATTTGTGCTATGGCATGCTCAATTGAATACGATTGAAAATTCATCCATAAAGAGAAAATTTTTAGAAATAAGTAAAAAGATATAACATGACAATAAGGATTTGAAACAGAAAGGCAGCTTTGTTTTGTTTCAACAGAAAGACCATTACAGAATCACGTGGCTATCATTTTAATAATTTAGTTTATTATAACACAGAATGAAATGAATATATAATTTCTCTCAAGTTTATATTTTTACAGAAGATTTATAATTAGTGCCTTTTAAGAAAATTACTTTCGAACTGTTATTTAAAATAGACTACATCAGTCTTATTTGCTATTAAAATTATAAAGCAATCATATTCGTAAATGTATTGATAATGCTCCATATATAAAATTTTTTTATTACTGTAGATCTAAAAAAGAATAAGCATATTTTTTTCTAAAGTTCAAAGTTATCAGCATTTTTAATCT